CGGCCGGCATGATATGTTTGCCTTGTTTGTCTTGCATTTTCGACGTGGAGGAATTCAGCTCTGACCTAAGCTATGAATGCAGACGCGCCCGGCCGTTCCTGAGAAACCTTGGCGCGGGTTTGCCAGCTGAAGGAGCTGACTCACCGGAGCAAGGGGACACTCGCTGTACTATCGAGCGATCAGAACGTGCAGTTTTAACAAAGGCCGACTACATACGCACTCAACAGCTGGGCTGAGATCGCAGAGTCAGCCCGCAAGACGTGGGTAGCTGCTATAAACTTACGATCATGCTGATTTTAACCCCTTTCTCATTGCTGCTGCCAACCACAGGACGAAGGAGGGGGCTGCGGGATCCCCCTTGAGCTGTTTTGCAGTTTGGCCCCCTGTCGTGATAAGCCTTTCACCCCCCTACCCCTGTCTCCCCTGCTACTGCACACAACAGAAGTGTGAAACATCTACTATAATTTGGGTATAGCAACTGAACTATTAACCACTTCAGTGTCTGCTGAATATGTGGCGATGTTAGGAATAGACATAGCATTCTTTCATTTTCTAAGCGGAGAACTGGTTTTTCTGGCCTAGTGCATATTGCGGCAGCACTCCACTGAGTAACCGCGGCCGGCAGGATGAGACAGGCCTACGGCCCCAGCAAGCCAGCTCTTCACATCACAAGATACCTGAGCAACAGGCTCAGTGCAGAGTCACTTTGGTTGGAATTCTCCCTAAATAAGGTCCGCCTAGTCCTGACAGGCTACTCAGTAATTCTGGTGGCTGGCAGAGTGGGCTTTGTGTCTCACCTACTCACATAGAGAGAGCGGGGCTTTTCAGATTGCATAGTAATCAACAATACCTGCGACCATACTTCCTTAATGTGGATTCTCAGTTTCACTTCCAGCTGTGCTACAGTGCTGACAAATGATTCATTATGTCTTGCCCTAAATTTAAATTATACCTAGATATGCTTAACGATGGTCTCCAACAGTAGAATAAAGTCTGATTTAAAAGCAATAGCAAAAAAAAAATCAACAGGAATGGTGACTCATCTTCTCACGAGATGGTAATGTCAGTAGGGTCCAGGGTCTTTCCCTGACCTCTCCAGAACATTCTCTTCCTCTACAAGTCTTCACAAAAGCTGTCAGTTAATGTCTTCACCAGAAGACTGTCACTGTATGGTAATTTGCACTTTAAATAGGATTGGATCCTACTTTGGGTTTAGTGATGATCATAAAGAGAGGTTAAATGGGACACATGTCACTTTTTACAGAACTATGCTTCTGGTAAATATTCTTTGTATTGTTTGGACTACCAGGAATGAGACTCGCTCTGTCCTTTGTAAATTCTGTACTCGTTAGAGCTGCAGTAAAAAAATAAAAGCATTTGATATGAAGACGATGAGGTCAGGATTGGCCCTGAGTGTTTTGATGCCCTGGGCGACATTTTGCTGAGCGTAACTTCATTTGTATTAAAACCATTTCAGCAGCACAGCTACTAACTAGAGAGGCTGCATGAGTTTCATGAGAAAATAGTGATATATTAAAATTAGTGTTGATAACTGCATGTACTGTCATGGAATGCAATCGGAGGTATTTCTTCTGAGTGTTTTTAGTCGCTCTTCTGCACCCCCCTAAACAAGTGGCCCTAGGCGATCGCCTCACTTACATACAGGATGGATCAGCCCTGGATGAGGTAGATACTCTTTGGAGGGTAGCAAGCTAAAAGGCATCTTTGACCATTTTTACATTAAGATTGCCGTCTGCAGTGTAGCAACATTTTTCTTAAAAGCATGAATGAATATGCAAAATATGCAAGAGAATGAAAACAGCATAATATAAACAGCAAGAAGGTAAAATCATTTTGGAACAATGAATATTTTAAATATTCTGAATTATTTTCTGAACAGAATTAATTTATCGCTGGGGTTTCAGTGCTTGCATTGCATACTCTGAGTACTCTGGCTGGTGTTTGAGTACTTGCATGTTCTCCCCATCTTTTCATACTCTGAGTACTCTGGCTGGGGTTTGAGTACTTGCATGCTTTCCCCGTCTTTTCATACTCTGAGTACTCTGCACTCTGAAAACAGTCAGGTGAATGGGGGTCTCTAAGCTGCATGTAGTGTGTAATTGTTTGTGTGTCTGTGCTTTGTGTCCTACATCTGTCCTGGGTGTCCTATACTTTGTGTCCTGTGCTGTTTGGCATAGGTTTCAAGCTTGCTTTGAACCTGTACCAGATAAACAGCTGGAAGATGAATAGATGGATAGATCTTTTAAATGGTGAAATGCTGAAATATTAGGATAAATAATACAGATTATTTATATATATAAGACTGCATCCCCTGATATAGCTTCCCAATATGTTGTCTACATTCCTCTAACGCTGTCGTTATGGTTGTTGTTGTTTAGCCTGTTATTAATGGCAGCATTCCTAACAAACTTTGTCCACTTTGTATTCTTTTGGAGCTCTTTTGCAGGACTGTATGGAAAACATAACATCCATGAAAGACTGATAAAACAGTTTTCCTAATCCACGGCTATCTTGAAAATCCAGAATTAAAGAACTGTTATGGAGGACAAATTTCTCATTTGCTAATACATCTCATATATTTGGGGGCTTTGAAGCAAGGAGACAGGAGGTATGGCTCACGGTCAGGTCTTGTTTATAAGACAAGGTGTTTTTTTTTCCCTTTTCTTTTTTGTGATTTTGGACGCTTTACAGTTTAAATGGCTATTTAGAGCCATCATCGCTCATATAATAAGCATACTGTCTTCTTTCCCTCTAATTTATCACACAAAATGTTTTGTTTTCACAGTTTGTTTCAGCTGCTGTCTTTTTGAGCTAACTGGAATTAGACACAAGATAAAACACTCAGTATGGCTTAACACAAAAAAGATGAAGATGATAACTCTAATTGGGATTTACATAACATCAGTAGGCTGTTTTATTCTAATTCTGTGATCAATCAAAGAATATTGTACTGTCTTTCTGTGCTTATACAGCATGTTTTATCTTTATTTCAACAGAAGGATCTATAGAACTGCAAAACATTTCATTTGTATAGAAGAGTGTTTCCTAACCCACTCTTTTGGGAGCCCCAGACGGTCCACGTATAAAATGATATGGACCGTCTAGGGGTCCCCAAGGACCGGCTGGGAAACGCTGGTGTTTAATATACAGGGTAGGCCGCATAAAAGTAATCCGACATCTTAGCAAATTGACATATAGGGCTACTCTTATGAGGCAACCCTGTACTATTGTGCTGACAGTTACATTTTCCGTTATCTGTCACGTGTGCAAAAATACATAAGAGCGATTATTATCTGTAATATGCGCATGAAAGATATAGCAGCAATATGGAGCCAAACATGGGTGATAATGAAGAGCAGCACAGTAAATGATGATCATATGATACATATCCTTCATAGTTATAAGCACAGAATCTCTGTGTTGGAAAAAAAAAATAAGTACTACGGCTTTAAGGATTAAATCCCCAGAATGCAAGTAAAATAAGAGACATGTGACATTTCAGTATATATTTCAAATATTAAGTCTTTCAGTGTCAAAGCATAGCCATTTATACTGTGCAACATACGTGTTTAGCTGGATTAAACAATTATTAAATATTTCAGAGTCTGTGAGGACATGGTGACAGGCACTTAATGAGAATAACTGATAATTAGTTTACTGGGAAAAGTAAAATACCTTTATTACTATCTAAAATATAAGTACTGATATTAACAGTACACATACTTAGGCCTTATGCTGACGTGGATAACTAAAACTATATTAATTCTTATTTATTCCAAACACCTTTTTTTATTTTCTTTTTGCCGTCTGCAGCTTGTAACTAGATATATCTGAGACATCAGATTTTCCTTATGTCAGTCATTATATAGTCGAAGTTAATGAAATGTAATTAATTACATAACGCATGCAGTTGTCTTTTAACAATGAGTTGACACGCAGTGGCACCAATTTACGAGCACTATAATCCTTTGATTTACTTTTATTGATTTGCTGCCTGAATTGCTTCTGCGCTTTTTTCCTGTATGATACCATAACAATGTGAGGTTATTATATTAATTTCAGATGACTGCATTGTTTTATGATTTAATTAGGCCTTACATTAAAATGTATTGTTTATTGGCCTGTAACCGGTTCAACTGTAAAAGCAGTATTACGTTTCTGAATAAAGATTCACAAGATGTTTACATTCTTGTAAAGCATACTCCTCATAAGACATTTATTAAAAACAAAAAACATTGAAATAATTAAAAACTGGTTTCTTTCTTTTGTGGATATTAATATTTCCGGTAAAATACTGAGTTACGAATCAGAATCAAAATCAGAATCATGTATTTGTTGCCAAGTATGTTTTCACTTTTAGATACGAGGAATATATACAGTACAAGCAAAAAATATATATACACACACACACACACACACACAGTCCACATATATATGGCGAGTGGTAAAGACATTTATTTAAACACATTGAAATGAATAAAGACTGTTTCTTTCTTTTGCTGATATTAATTCATATATGTCCATTGTAGTGGGCATTTTGTTTTTGCATCTAACGTTTCACTGATGTAAGGAAACATTGTACACTAAAGAGGACATGCTGTGAAATTAAAAATAAAAAGACAAATAACCTAAAATTGAATGACACTTTTTTCCTTTGGTCTCAGGAGGATATATATATATATATATATATATATATATATATATATATATATATAAATTATGTGTGCATAGTGCAATACAGTGTACCAGGAGGTTCGTTACGTTTCCTTTACATGTAAAGGAAAAACACTAACCCTGTACATACTCATTCAAAGTTATACCATACACAAAAGGTTAAAGATGGGCACGTGCGTTTTATTGTCTTACGTGCTCACGGCGTGTGCGCGTACGTGCACGCCCTCCCTCGGGCGTTTCGGTAACGCGCTTGAAGGAACGCGCTGGAAGCTCCGCCCTCGTGACGTTTCAATGGGAATGTCTCCGATTTATTTCACTTCTAGACATGGCAGCGCTGAAGCAGGAGCATCGTTATGGTCTTTCCTGCGGAAAAATTAGCAAAAACACTCACAATAAAACACTTTATCATGTCAAGCTCACCGACACTGCCATTCGAGCATTGGAAGCCTACCAGAACCACAAGGTAACGCATAATTGTCAGTTTTACCTCACACTTTTACAATAGTTCTTTAATGTGTCTTTTCTTCGTGCGTTGTAGTTGTATTAACAAGTTGGACTCGATTTCAGTGGTTCTTTCTGTGGGAATGAATATAGAAATAAGTAGCATTATGACTTATTTGTGCTGTCACTTTACTCGGGGCAGACTGGATTTTCACCAGCTGGCTGTCCAGCAGGTACAACGTTGGCTGAAATATGGCCAAACTGCAACCCAGTAAATGTTTTGCACTGTTTTTTTCCCCCAGATATAAGTAACCGCGATAAGTATAAAATGTCATTACTTCTCATAAAGCTTCGGCGATGCATTTTGCATTTTAGCGGATGAAGTTTTACATTCTCCTGCGGGATTTTATTTTTGACGTTTAAATCCGAAGGAGGTGAATAGACATAGTGTATGTGTGTGTGTGTATAGACGCACACACTCAAGTACATACTAATACACATCTGTGTTTATAAAAATATCTTAAGTTTCGAAGAGAAGAGGCAGAGCTCTCAACTTTTGCTTCGTGCCTGTAAGAGTCCTTATTGAGCGCTGTGCCGAGAGGTACGTCTGCATGGCGAAGTTACTAAAGGCACCATACGCTTTCAGCGCTGGCCGTTTGGGGAAAACAGGTTTTTTGCCAGTTACTGGTTACTCAGAACGATCGATGCGAATTGCTTTTTGCATTGGGATTGTAGAACAGACATGAAAGTCCCTAAACACATTTTTCGGTGCTTGCAGTTTTATTTTACACATTCGTTGCTCGCATATGGTCCGAGTGCCGTGATACTTAGGCATACATGTTTTTAGAGTGAGCGTGTCATATGTGCATAAATTAATTTCTGAATATTTTAAGACTATTAGTTACTTATGCTAAGTGATTAGAAGCAAGAGTTATACGTTTAAAATGTCCGAATACGTTCTGTTGGGGATATTTCATGCCATTGTGTTTTTCATTCATATAATACTGATTTGTGTTAACAGAAGATCGTGTTTCCTTTGTGTTATAAAAGGAGCACATCTGTTTGCCAAGAAATGAAACGCGATGTGCCACGGCGAGCCATCGGGTCCCCTTTACAGAGCTGTCGTTTGGTGGCTTTGTAGTGTGGAGGTGAACACACGCTACGTACTGCTGGAGAAGCAGTCATAATTTAAATTCCGCCACAATCAATTTACTGGAGTGTTGGGACCTCCTGAAGGCAGCTGGCCGGGGAGCCAGGTCAGTCACCCCCGCTGTACGATTGGCTGTCTGCGGTGTAGTTTTTGTTACCATGCTTCTTTCTGCATTACGCTGCCCTTTAAACGCGTTGAGGGAGGGGCGCCCGCCCCATCTCAACTCCTATTGGTCCAGTTAGTGGAAGAGGAGGGGTCTTATTGGCTCGACTGCCAGCTGCTTACCAATAGGAACAAGGCCGTTCACTTCCCTAATCTCATGAGATAATTTCTGTTGACACGCTTCCACCTGCAGGTATTATGTTTCTCTGAAGATCTTAAATCCTACAGTAAAAGGTTACAAAAGCAATCTTAATTCGGAGTTCAGAATGGTTTTGTGAATGTCGTTTATATTTATCCAGTTTGTTAGATAATGCGAACTTTGCAAACAAGCTTGTTGCAAAGTGCTTTACAGTGATTTAAGGTAATTTTCAAATGGATATTTTTTGGGGAAAAAATTGAAAAAAGCCATAATTGTGAAATGATATGAACCAAATCATGAACCCATCAAAGAATACAGTTGTGTTGTATACCAGCAAAATAGTATTCATGGAAAGTACCAATAAAAACTGCAATTAAAAATAATTAGAATAATAATTCCACTAAGCAGCAAATCCAGTTGTGTAAACTGTATAAAAATCTCGTGGTGTTGTTTAAGATGCTGTTGTTGTTTGGACTTCACTGACGATATTTATAGTGCTGGAGAATTACATGGACCGGTATTAGGGTTAGGTTGCTGCTACATTTACCAGATTTCAAACACCTTGTTGCAGCACTTTCGAATCCAATTTTCCACTCAAAGAAAAGGGACCTCGTGCAGACGGGCCAGGCCCATCCCCCACGTGGCACTCCGGGGCTCTGGATTCCTGCATGTGAAAATGGGCCTTTAGCTCTGATTTGGGGTGTTTTTTTTACCAAGCAAGATGATGTATTTGCAGAGCGCAGCCAGGTGAGGTGCCAATAAGGGCCCTGTATGCTTCCCCTGGGTAATAAGCAGCCCATACGAGCATCCACACATCCCTCACTTCTGTGAAGAAGTCGCTCCACATGCCTGATTGCTGGCGAGTAAAGGGCGACGCTCCTGTGTGATTTCAGATTGGCGTCGGCATCCCGGGGCACGACAGGGCTTCCGAAGTGACTGCTCTCCATTTCCCGCTGGCAGTCAGTGGTGCGCTTTGGTCAGGCCCTGACCTCAGTCTAAGCTGGCCCCCGGGGCTCTAATGCCACCTTCATTTTGTGATGAACTGATCTTGTTTACTCAGAGAAAAATCATGTCTGAGGTTTCTGGCACATGTCACCAAAAGGCAGGCCGCATCCGGCAGCGCGAAGGCTTGTACTACACTCCCGACTTTAATGATTTCTTCTCTCTGTTTCTTTAATGAAACAACTGGCAATAAAGCGATCGAGGCAATAAAGTGCAATAAAGACATAAACCTACTGGCTGTGTTCCTCATAAATGGCCAAGCCGGAGAAGATGACGTGAATTCGAGAGGCAGGTGGATCGGACATGGTTTGCACGTGTGGCCTGGACAAACAACCACATGTAACCAAGGGCCAGTGGAGGTGTGTGGTTTGGTGTGATGATTTCAGCCTGTTTGAGGAGAATTACCTGGACAGGACCCATTAGTGTAGCATGGTGCAGTTTAGGTTAATGTGGGAGCTTTTTGCTATGCAGACCTGGAATTGTACACCCTTAGTAAAAAACTCACTGGAAGTCACATGGTGTGGTGTGACCTATGAGAGCTGACCTTGGTTATTCGTTTCAGCAAATAAGGCTTCAGTGAATTTAAAGTTTACATCAATGATAATGTAAATGGTGTTCTTATAGGAAATATCCATAGCTCAGTGCATTTTGTGTTTTACTTGCTGGATTTTGGGCTAAATGCCACACAGTTAATTGCTTAGCAATGCAGAAATTCCGTGGTAGTGCACCGTATTTGCTGACAGTTGTGACCTCTACCGTTTTTTTTTTTTTTGGTAAAAGTTGCACCCAGCCATAATGACATTGTTTTATAGTACAGTGTGACACTTTCTCCAGCAGCGCCCTATCAGCATTGGGCACGTGTGTCAGAGGTGTGACGGTCCCACCGGACTGGAGTGCTCCCCTGTCACTGTCATGGCTGGCGTCACCATCGGTGACAGTGTCTCTCCTTTTCGTTCCTGCAGGGGTCCTCACCGAATCAGCCCACTATCTGCTTCACCGGGAACCAAGGGGTAAGTAAGGCCCGTTGACGGCATGCCTTCGCCATTCCTGCTTTAACTGCCAGGAAGCTGATCTCCCATCTTTGCCGATTCCTGGGATCGTGAACCTCCCAGTCCAGACTGACGGTGCTGAGACGGGCTCGTTATGGCGCTTTGTGGTTGCTGCTGGTTCCTGCTGTTGAGAGAGATCCAGGATTAAGTTTGAAGCTCATGAAGCATGTTGGATTCTTGTCAGTGTCCATCTCCTCATTTGTTTTTTTTTTTTCCTTTTTACAATTAGCTTTTTTCATTGTTTTGAAGAAGCATTCAGTGATGTTGTGAGAGCTGTTGTCATTATGTATGATTGAGCTGTTCTGCTGCTTAATATGTAGGCTACCAATGTGTTTTATGAGTGAGCAGCCTTGTGTTTTTTTTTTTTTCTTTTAGTAACTCCCATAAAATTAAACCATAGCATATAAATCATCATAACGTCAATGCCGTGCATAAACTGCACACGCTGGAATCCTGCATCAGGCCATCGGTTTATTAACTCTGGTGAAACTGCCGGATGAATCTAAATCAGATTAAATTATTGTGTGCGTATCTGTTTGTGTGTGTATGTGAACTGTGTAGAATCCCGATTCGCCAACAGTGGCTGTGCACTGCAACCTTTGTGTGGCTGCCTGTGTTCTTTTCACATACTGGTAATCCTCCCCCCCCAGACCTAACTGCGTGGGTGAAAGTGGCTTGACTCAGTGCACAGACCCCCACCCCCATGTTTGCTAGAGGTCCAGAGACCTTGGAATCGACACCCTGCTCCCTTCATCCTGCCAGCCAGATGACTGGGTCACTGTGGAGACGACAGGAGTGTATGTGTGCGTATGGGTGTATGTGCAGGCGTGCCGTGCTGATCCTAAACAGACGAGTTTATGAGGAAACGCATGGTGACTGTCCAGGGAACAGGCTTTCCCAGAGGCTGTCGTTTTGAGGCACATTTCATACATGGTATGAAAACCGTGGCTCAGGCAAGAATTAGCAGCAAAAGCCATGAATCAGCCCAGTCCGTGGTTAACCTGGCCAGCCGTTTCCCCAGTGATGCATTTCGTGAGCTCCCCCTCCTCAATGGCGATCTCCCTAGTGAGTAAGTGTAGGGGTGGGGGGTGTAGTCAGTGACAGCGGGGAGCTCTCCAGGCGGGAGGAGAGGCGAGGTCCCCATGGCTGACGAGGTCCTCCTCCTTCTGAGCAGCTCTGTGATGAATAATACAAAGGCTTCCTCTATTTTTGGTGATGGAGTGTAAGCTTCCAATGTGAGCCGTTTCCTCATGCCGGCGTCCCCCCAGCCTGCTGCTGGGCCCCCGAGGGGCTTCCAGAGGGCCCTCAGAGGCACTTTTTCTGGCGGTCCTCCAGAGCCTGGCAGCTGGGGCTAAGGTTGGGCTTGTCCATTTTTTTGACGCAGGTCCCTACGTTTCCTCTGCTTGGACCAGCCAACTCGGTTTGCATGAATCAGAGCTGCTAATGGTTGTGGTGTTGGGGGTGGTGGCGGTAATACTGCCTGTCAGACACACCTGTCCTGAGATCTGCACCAACACCCCTTAAACGGCCCATTCGGGGCGGGGCAGAGGTGTGGGTTTGACCCTCCTCCCAAACACAACAGCCATTCCTGTCCTAAACAGCCGAGAAACACCAGAGGGCTCATTATATAAGTGGGTAGCGATTCTGGAGAGGAGTGTGACAGTGTCATTTAGGAGGCCGATAACTAGGGCACAAGGTCAGCAAGCAGATGAGGGTGGTCCGAGCTGCCGGACACACCAGTCATGTGACCCACCAGTGGTCATGTGACCTACTAGCTTATTAACCTACCTAAGTGATAACTCATTACCTGTTTGCCAGTCTTTAATCAGCCGCTGTTGCTTTTCCAGAATGCTACTTTTAGAAATCCTTTTTTTTTTTTTGTCCACTCGATTTCACAGAATGTTCCTCTGGCCAGCAGATGTTGCGGTTTGCTAATCAGAACCCCCACCCCCCAACTCTGTGTTAATTTTCACCTGAATGCTGAGAGTTAACACTGTTGCCGTTATGCCGCTGTCTGCCTCGGCGCGTCCCTGATGCACTGACGCACTGCCTGCTGGGATTTTCCCCTTCCTGCAACCTGCAGCCTTGCAGGCTGTCTCCTCTGTGCATTCTGATGTGGCCCCCGCACCCATGCCGAGCATTTCAGTGCGAGATTGGCCGGTTCCGGCCAGTGTCAGCCTGCTCTGGGCTGCAGCTTGTACCCAGGGAATGCGGGGGGGGGACCCTGGGTCGCGCTCTGCCGGGGCCCCCGGCTGCCTGTCGGCTGGGAGGAGGGGCGTGTACCACGTTGTTGGTATTCGTGTGTCTGTGTCTGTGTGGGGCTGATCAGGTTCTGGCTGGTCATCAGAAGACTAAACGTTCCCCCAGCCTGGCCCAGTGCTAATGGCTAACTTGTATTTAAGCATTTATTTCCAAAAGGTTTTTAAGGGTTCAGTGGGACACGTCAGGCACGTCATGGTTGGGTGGGGGAGGAGGGGTCTGCATTTCCCCTTGGCTGTCAGTGCTCCTGCTTCTGTCAGCAATACCTCCGTAGCGAGAGCTCTGCTGTATATTTTGCCCCCCTTTTTTACGCTCCTGCATGGTTTGGGCCTCACTGTGGTTAGTGTGTGAGCCCTGGAAAACACCTGTAGTGACCCCCCCCCCCCACCACAATTAGGCCCCTCCCCCTTTGAGGATGTGAGCAGTTTGATGGTTCGAGTGGGACCTGACCTGCTTACATAAAGATATTACATAAATGCCCTCAAGTGCCGCCGTATGTGGAGCTGGGGAGACGGGGTGAGCGAAGGAGGCGTCCCTGTGGCCACCTGCACCATGTGCCCCCGTCCCCGTCCCCCTCCCCCTCCCTCTGGGGGCTGCTGTCATTCCCCCAGATTTCACCCTGTTTTGCCACCTGTGGCCCACTGGAAGCCTGGGAGCCCCCCCCACGAGAGACACTGTTTGGCGTGAGCTCTTTCCAGCTCCCTCGTCACCGGTGCTCCCTCATAGGGGCACGCCGGCCATACGCCCCAGTCCCTTTATTTACACCCATTGGTGAATGTTATCCTCTTACTCGGCTCTGTGATGTGAGGGAAGGGAACACCAGTCTCGGCCAATCAGTAAAGCCTCTGTTTGTCCTTGCCTCATTGGTGGCGGGGGAGGGGACTGGCAGATGTGCCCCCGGGCTCTTGGCATTCGGCAGAGTCCACGGTGGCCGTGGAGCAGATCGCAGGGTTACGGCAGCCGTTGCTTTGCTGCAGCTCCACTTGGTGGACTTCCAAGCGATCGTCGCCGTCCCTTTATCAGCAAGATCCCGCCGTCGGGGAGAGGTACAGTACAGCGGCGGCCGGGGATGCTGGGCGACTGAGCCCTGCTGGGGTTCTCGGTGGGAAACCCCCCCCCCCCCCCGGTACACTTTGGCACTCACTCAGGAAGTCCATCTCCACTGCTGCCCCAGTCCGGTTGCTGGACCGACACCCCTCCACCATGCACTTACCCAGCATGCACCACTCCTGGCAGAAAAAAACAACGAGTTCTTTTACCGTGCAGGGGTGGAGGGGGGGCTCTTCTGGCAGGCAGATGTGAAAAAGGTGACAGGATGTTTGTGTGGTCAGTCTATTTTTACTTGTGTCAACACGGCGGGGCCGGAGCGGACGAATAAGCAGCGGCGGTGGCTTTTCTGTGGATGAGTGCACCGTAAACATGCCTGCTGTGGGGGTGACACTTGCCACTTTAGTTTGGAGAAATTAAATGGCACAACTATCTGCTGTCGTTTTCTGCCAGCTTTTGAGTTTTGCTGGGGTGGCTTGGAGTGAGCTCCAGTAATATGGGTCAGTGACAGGGGAGAGG